GGCTGGCTTTGAACCGCAGTCTTCAGATCTCAGCCCCCTGAGTAGGAAAAGTTTTTTTTTTGGGGGGGGGGTTCGGTCGTGGGGCCTGAACTCTGGGCCTGGGCACTGTCCCTCAGCTCTTCAGCTCAAGGCTGGCGCTCTACCATTTGAGCCACAGTGCCACTTCCGGCTTTTTTCTTTTTGTTTATGTGGTGCTGAGGAATCGAACCCTGGGCCTCATGCATTCAAGGCAAGCGTTCTACCACTGAGCCACCTTCCCAGCCCCAGGAAAATAGTTTTTATGAGACTGACGCACTACCTACTGCGCTAATGAGGCACCTAGGAAAGTAGTTTTTAAAGACAAGATGTTAACTAGGTTTATAGTTTATAGGAGCTTTTTTTTTTTTTTATTAAGGAAATCCTTTAAACATGAAGCTGTTTCTGATCATCTATTTAAGGTCGCTGACAGATCAATCATGTAACAAATTGTTTACTTCAGCTTTATAGTATATGCATTCGCCCATTCCCAGAATTATGGAGATGAAATACTGGAAGATGTTTTGAATGCTGAAGAAAGTTGACAATGTAAACAGTATTTTTGGTAAGGCTTGGTAGCTTTGTTATCATTGCTGTCATCCCCATCCTCTCCCCAATACTGGTTGAAATATTTGGTCTACAAAATAATGGTAGCCCTTGTCCTTCCCAGACTTTAAAAAAAAAAAAAAATACCCCAAACCGCAAAACCAAGCACAGTGTAGGAAGAACATTTTCAGGTCCTTTCTTGGAGAATGATGGGCAACCCAGAAATTGGGACATATTTCTTTTGTGAAATTGAGTTTGAAAGTGCTATAAAGGACATCAATACTTCCATATATTGCTGCTAAATAATTTTTACATGGATATGACTGAGTGAACACAAAGGAAAAATAAAGCTCAAGTGGTTACGCATACTGCCAGTGGAAGGAAGGAAAAAGTTAAAATGTGTATTTGAAGTAAAGGGAAGTAATTTGATATAAACAGCTTTTAAACTGTTTGATATAGACAACAATTTGATGTATACAACTTGAGTAATAGTAATGGTTGTGTGTGTGGGGGGTTGTGGAGGGTTGGTAGAGACTTTGAGACAGATCTGTAAACAATTACATTTTATCACAAACTGCGTTACTAGGAAAGCAGAATTGGAAAGCCGGGCACAGGTGGCTCATGCCTGTAATCCTAGCTACTCAGGAGGCTGAGATCTGAGGATCACGATTCAAAGCCAGCCCTCCGTGAGACTTTTTTTTTTTTGGGGGGGGGGGGTCATGTGTCTTGAACTGGGCTTGGGCACTGTCCCTCAGCTCTTCAGCTCAAGGCTAGAGCTCTACCACCTGAGCCACAGCACCACTTCCAGCTTTTTTCTGCTTGTATAGTGCTGAGGAATTGAACCCAGGGCCTCATGCATGCAAGGCAAGCACTCTTACCACTGAACCACCTTCCCAGCGCCCCCTCTGTGAGACACTTTATCCGCAATAAACCACTAGAAAACTGGAAGTGGTGCTGTGGCTCAAGCCATGGAGTACTCACCTTGAGCTGAAGAGCCCAGGGAAAGCGCCCAGGCCCAGAGTTCAAGCCCCACGACCGACAAAAAAAAACAAGACAAACCAGAATTGGAAGCATTGTCTTGAGTTCCATCCTGTCTACACCTGCAATCCTTGCTCTCAGATGTCCACAATGCCTTGCATGTAAAGGTGCTCAATATTTGAATGAGCTAATGTTTACTCTAGCCTGAAATTTTCCTAGGATCTTAGAATTGTCCCTTATTTTCCCTATGGTGAATTTAAAATTTTATCTAACAAGACAACTGTATAACATCTATTCCCAGACATCCAGAATTGGAGAATCTGACAAACACTGTACATGTTTAGGACACACACAAGCAGAATAAAAGTGAAATGGTAGATGGATGATGAAATATTATTTTCCCTATGGTGAATTTAAAATTTTATCTAACAAGACAACTGTATAACATCTATTCCCAGACATCCAGAATTGGAGAATCTGACAAACACTGTACATGTTTAGGACACACACAAGCAGAATAAAAGTGAAATGGTAGATGGATGATGAAATAATTTCTACGAGAAACAGCTCCCTTTTGGATAGTAGGATGGCAAGTCTTTGATAAGAGAAAGGAAATAACCCTTCTCACACTAGACCTGGTCTGTTATTTTTTGAGTGGCCATGAAGCATGGTAACCAGCCTGTTATTCCTGTACTGACATCTAACCAAGCTTCATGGTGGACTGTGAAGAATTTTAAGATGTATGGTTTTGGCTTGACTTTCATTATGCTGTTAGGTTTTTCAGGGTTAACAAAGATCTCTGTAGATCATCTATAGACAGGAAACCAGGAGCTTAGATTTGCCTGTGCAACTCAGGTTTAGATGAGCCATGCTGGAAGATTTTCTCTTAGGGGCTAAGCCAAAGAATCTTTAGGCCAGAAATGACTACTGACACTATATCCACTTAACTAGTGATGAGTAGTTAGGTGAAAAGCTGTTAATGAACACAAAAAATGACCTGAAGTGAATTAGGAACAACTCATGTGGTCTGGGCATGAATGTCAGGTACAGGGTCACCCTGTTGCACACAAGAAAAGACACCAGGAAGCGGCGCTGTAGCTCAAGTGGTAGAGCGCTTGCCTTGAGCTGAAGAGCTGAGGGACAGCACCCAGGCCCAGAGTTCAAGCCCACGGCCAACAAAAAAAAAAAAAAAAAAAAAAGAAAAGACACCAGGTGGCACCATTTACTAGTGCTATTTCAGCTTCTGTGGCCTGGTCGAATCACGGGCTAGAAAAGGGTTAAAGAATAGCCTACTTCTATGGTTGTAGTTAATGGCCCTTGCTCCTTGCAGATTTAGGAAATAAATTAGAAACACTCACTTTAGTTTGATTAGAGCTACAATGCATAGGTAGTAGAATGGGGGTTTATGCCTCTGGCTGCCATTCCAGCTTGTCTCTAAGGAAGTAACTGATCACTAGGTCACCCAATAAGCTTTATAAATGGTGTTTTTAAAATATATATAGTTTTATTATTAGAGTGTACGGTCAGGGAATGAGTACATTTCAGTATTGGACAGTGTCAGCCATTCGACCCCACTTTTCCCCTGCTGTCACTGCCCATGTTAGTAAGTGATACTGTTGGTCCATGGCTACGGTACACACAGCACCTTCCTGCTTTGCCCCGTGGGGGTACAAATTCACAGCAGAGTTTTAGGGATCCTCCCCTGTTGCTAGCCTGTCATCTACCCAGGCACCCCAAAGGTCTGGATAGGTTGAGAGACCTCAAGCTGAGCATGCCTTTGGATTTAGGCCAGCTTTTCCAGGAGGTAACCAACCAGGGGAGCGTTCCACGGCTTCTGGGAAACAAAACTGGCTTACAAGCTAATGAAACGTGGTAATATTAACCGATGCTCGCCGCCTATCAACTAATAAAACTGCTGAACCTACTGCCGCCACGCTGCTAATTAAGTATCAGTCTGGGCGGAAGTATTAAGTTCCAGAGAAACAAAGTACCGATGAACTAGACAGCACTAAGACATGGAATTAAAACCAGGACCGGGTTTCCTCACCGGTGCCTTCTACTCTGCACGCCTCAAGTCCTGCCCGAGGCGTCTCCTTTTCTTCCGTCGGGTTGCCCAGTTCCGGACAACACTGGGTCAAGTGTTTGCATTGGATAGAATCCTTTCCAGGTGAACGCGCTGGGCGGGCCGCAGTGAGGAGCTCGGCGGCTGGGGCGGACGGGTACCCAGCGTGCGGGGCTGAGAGTTAGAAGCGCTGGGATCCCTCCGGCCTATCACAAGTTAACTTTAGCGCCCCGGGGGCGTGGCTAGTGTCCCGGAGCTCGGGGAGGTGAAGTTCTCCGGGGGGAAACCAACCCTGAAAATACCATAAAAGGCCTGGCGCTCTCAATTCTGAAGCCGTGTACTGTCGACCTCCTTCTCAGAGCGGTACCCACAATTACACTGCGCGGGATCCGCAGTCCGAGTCCCCTTTAGACTCTGGCTGCCGAGGCCCTCCCTTTGGCTCCGCCCAGTCAGTCTCACTCGTCCACTCGGGAGTCGACCTCCCGGCTGCAGGCCGCGCCTCCTCGCGTCGGCCACGCCCCTCCGCCTGTAGCTTGGCCCAGGCGTTAGTTCGCGTTTTGAGCCGCTCGTGCCACCATAGTTGCGGCCGCCGCCGCCGCCGCCGCCCCCGCTGCCGCCGCGGAGCTAAAGCCGTCGAGCGCGATGTCTGAGGGCGCTGGGAACCGGACAGCCCTCAAGCCCCGGGGCTGGTAAGCTCGGGCCCGGACGGGGGCGCTGACGAGTAACCGGGGGCTTCCGAGGCGGGTGAGGGAGGGAGGAAGAGGCCGGCCTGCGTGTGGCGAGCGGGCGCCCGTGCGCCGGGGCGGGGGGGGGGGGCGGCTCCCCGGGCTGAACCGGCGTCTGGCCCTCGGCGAGCCCCGCCGCGCCGGGCCCCTCCCGGGAGCCCGCGCAGTTGCCATGGGAACCGCAGGGCGTTAACGGGAACCTGACGTGGGGTGTGTGTGTGGGGGGCGTCCGCCCTGCTAGTGCTCTTCCCATTCTCCAGTGAAGGTACCGCGGGCAGGCGTGGGCCTGGCGTCCCCTGGGTGCCCGGACCCCCCCCCCCGGCCCCCCGGCCCCCCGCACCCCACATCTCCCCGCACACACACCCCCCTCGCCTCCCCACGGGGCTTCCTCGTCCTGCGCGCGTTGTGAGGAGCCACGCGGGGACGAAGCGGGGAAAGGAGGAGGCCGGACCTAGAGGCAGCCGCCGCGGGGCTCGGGCAGGCGCCAAGCCGCCTAGCCCGAGACGCTGAGGTGGCCTCTGCCATTTCAGGCCAGCGGAAAGGTGCGTGAGTGGAAGGCCCAGCGGAGCAGCGGGGAGGCGGTGTCCCTGTTGAGACAAGTCCCAAGACCCGTCGTCCCCAGGCCCCCCCTCCCCCTCCCCTCCCCCCGTCCCCCCCCCCCCCTCCCCTTCATCATGATGGCCGTGGAAGGGTCTACCATTACCAGCCGCATCAAGAACTTGCTGCGTTCCCCGTCCATCAAACTACGCCGGAGTAAGGCGGGAAACCGGAGAGAGGACCTCAGCTCCAAGGTGAGTCCTGGTGTGGCTAGCCACCCCTTGTCAGCCTGTTTCTCTTAACCCCCTTCACCTTCCTCCCCCCCCCCCCCCCCCCCCCGGAGAGAGACTCCAGTTGCCTCTAGAAGAGCAAATGCGCTTGTGTCTGCCCCTCAAAAAAAAGCAGCGACTTTGAGTTTAGTGGAAAGGAAAAGGCAGCAGGGGTGACCATACTGAGATTCATTCATAAGAGGTCACTAGGATGAAAAGCCGCCAGAGTTTCACCATGACCTCACTACAAGCTAAGAGTGGGCTTGAGGAAGCCACTTGACATGCCATGACTCAGTTTCCCTTCTTGGAAAGGGACCGGTGGGATCACACACCCTGGGAAGGACTGAGCTGTGGATGTCGATGTTAATGTAGCAACTGGGATTATGACAAGTTGTATCAGTAGCAGAAAGAAATAACACTAAAACACCTTTTGTGAGATGTTGACCCATAATTAGTTGTTTTTGCTGATCTTTTTAACAGGCCTTAGCTAACTTACCTAGAGCTTGTTTCTTAGGAACGATAACATGCCAGAAGCCACATGCCTGCCAGAAAAACAGTTCTACAGGGGCTACCGCCTTTCCAGGTCACATTTCCTCAGAGGCAAAGTCCTTTCCTATCCCCTCACTTAGGTTTGTTTTTTGTTCATTTTGAGCAGGCTCTCCTGATGTAGTTCAGGCTGACCTTAAATTCTTGGTCCTCTTCTTCCCTTAGCTTGCCTGGTGCTAGGATTACAGGTGTGAGCTCTCACAACCAGTGAGGCCCAGCTTTATTCAGCTTTGTCGAGCCCCATACGTTGGGCATATAAAAGTAGACTAAGTTCTTTCTTTTTTCTTTTTTTGGTTAGTTGTGGAGCTTGAACTCAGGGCCTGGGAACTGTCCCTGAGCTTTTTCCTTCTAGGCTAGTGCTCTACCACTTTGAGTGACAGCCATACTAACTTCTTTTAATCCCTTGGGGGAAGCCAAGGCTTTATTCCCACAGGATCAGATTAGATTTTGTATCTTATTAGCAGTCTGTAAACACAATGGCTTTGTGTGGTACAGGATTACCAAGGGAAGAGTCAGTTGAGACAAAAGCATTTTATTACCTTGCTTGTGACTTCTAAAGAGATGTGTAAACCCGGTGAGGAATGATTTAGAGTGTTCATCAGCATGGTAGGGTTCTGGAGGACATTGTTCAAATCCGTGTCCCTTATAAGAACCTTAGTTGGATTTGGTATAAAAGGGATCAGTTTTCCTGTATATTGTAGCAGGGGTTGTATTGACTCAAGGTTCCATGGTAGTGGAGATAATGCCCCTTCTGAGGACTCTTAGTAGATCACTGTTCCTATTCTCTAAAGGCAGGAGGATGAACCCCCAAATCAGACTTCGCACATTAGAATCAAGGGTGCTCTTTCTATGGACTAGTCACTTGGCAATAGTGAGCAGTATTAGACCAATCTTCTCATATCTCTGGGCTCTTGTTTTCTGGCCAGGAATGATATACATAATATACATATGATATACTTATGATATATTATGTACACATATTATGTAACATGTATATATGTATACATATGTATATTATATATACATATTATATATATCATCCCTGCCCAAGAATACTTAGGGAATACTTAGTACAATTTTTACCTGGAATCCAGAAGGTACCATGGACATTCTTTAAGACTTCTTATGTCGTTTTATCATTAATTTATCCAACAAGGATTTTTTGAATGCCTATTAGATATGCAGTCAGTGAAGAATAAAGCATCCTTGCCATCAAAGAATTTGTAGCAGTGAGACATACAAACAGATAATTATTTGTTTTTTTTTTTTTTTTGGTCCAGTTGTGGGCCTGAACTCGGCCTGGGTGCTGTCCCTCAGCTCTTCAGCTCAAGGCCAGCACTCTACCACTTGAGCCACAGCACCACTTCCGCCTTTTTTTTTTCTGCTTATGTGGTGCTGAGGAATCGAACCCAGGGCCTCATACATGCAAGGCAAGTAAGTGCTCTACCACTGAGCCACCTTCCCAGCCCCAGAAACAAATAATTATAACATGTGCTATGCTATGTGCTGTTTAAGAAGTGTGTGTTAAATTGTCCATGGAAGCACAGGGGAGACTCCTGTGTTCAATTTAGGGGAATTAGGAATGACTTCATAAAGGAAAGGATGTTTGAACTGAGTCCCTAGGCAAGAGGACCCGAGTTTTCTAAGGAAATAGTGAAAAAAGGGGTGTCCCTGGCACCACCACTGAGAGTCTCTGTTTCACAGGGATGCAACACTTCAGGTTGTTTTAAAAGCTGTATCTGAAGGGAATATTGAGCTGAAGTTGAATGACCCAGGCCTTGAATGGTGTGATAGAGCATGAGCACTAGTGTAGCAGTAGCTGTTTGTGTGTACCTACAACCCTAGAGATGCCTACCTCCCAACACTCCTCAGTGAAGATTCTTTACCTCAGATTATCCTAAAAGCCTGCCTGTGGTAAACCACATAGGACCTATGTTCTATTACACTCTGCAAGTAGTTGTAATATGTGGTAGCTGTGGATAATCACCGGAAGTTTATGATTTATGGACAGGTAATTTTTTGTGTGCAGACCAATCCTGGGGCTTGAACTTAGGGCCTGGGCGCTGACCCTGAGCTCTTTTTGTTCAAGGCTAGTGCTCTACCACTTGAGTCACAGTTCTGCTTCTGGCTTTTTTTTAAAAAAAGTTTTATTTTATTGTAAAGATACTGTACAGAGGGGTCACAGTTACATGAGTAAGGCAACGAGTACATTTCTTGTTGAGCATTGTTACCCCCTTTCTGATTGTTCTCCCACTATCCCTTCTCTCTCCCACCTCCCTCACTCTCCCTGCCCCTGAAGTTGTAAAGTTAATTTCCAATATACTGTCTTGTAGCTTCTGACTTTTTATAGTTAATTGGAAATAGGACTCTCGTGGACTTTTCTGCTGGGGCTGGCTTTGAACCATGACCCACAGACTTCAGCCTCTTGAGAAGCTAGGGATATAAGCATGAGCCACTAGCACGTGGCAGGATAGCTGATTTTGGAATAAATAGGTATGCCTCTTGAGGGACAAAGAGAAATTTGTAAGAGGGTTCTTTTTTTTTTTTTTTTGCCAATCCTGGGGCTTGAGCTCAGGGCCTGGGCACTGCCCCTGAGCCTCTCTGTGCTCAAGGCTAGCGTTCTACCACTTGAGCCAGCCACAGTGCCACTTCCTGCTTTTTCTGTGTATATGGTACTGAGGAACTGAATCCAGGGCTTCATGCATGCTAGACAAACACTCTACCACTCAGCCACATTCCCAGCCATGTAAGAGTGTTTTGTTTTGTTTTGTCTGTCATGGGGCTTGAACTCTGGGCCTGGGCACTGTCCCTCAGCTCTTCAGCTCAGGGCTAGCGCTCTACCACTTGAGCCACAGCGCCACTTATGGTTTTCTGGTGGTTAATTGGAGATAAGTCTCACGTGGACTTTCCTGCCCAGGCTAGCTTCAAACCACGATCCTCAGATCTTAGCCTCCTGAGTAGCTAGGATTACACTTGTGAGCCAACAGTGCCCGGCTTCATTTTCTTTACTTCACACTGTTTAGGATATTGTCAAGTATGTAGTTATTACTGAGGAGTAAATGAATGTGAACAGCTTAAAGATGTCAGACAGACAAAATAGAGATAAATTCAGAGTCTAGAAGAATAAATGATCAGGGGTCATTTGTGACCTTGGGAAGAGAAATCAAAACTAGGAATAATGAAAATTAAAAAAAAAAAGTAGGAGCCAGGTACCAGCGGCTCACGCCTGTAATCCTAGCTACTCAGGGGGCTGAGATCTGAGGATCCTGTTCAAAGCCAACCCAGACAGGAAAGTCCATGAAATTCTTATCTCCAGTTAACCACCAGAAAACCCGAAGTGGCATTGTGGCTCAAAGTGGGGGAGTGCTAGCCTTGAGCAAAATTGCTGAGGGACAGCACTCTAGCTCAGAGTTCAAGCCCCACAGTAGACAAAATAAAGACGGGGGGGGGGGGGGGGGGGGGGAGGTGAGGGAGGGAGAGAGAGAGAGATGAGGGAGGGAGGGAAAGAAAGTAGAGAGAGGCAATGTATTTATGTGTGGTGGGCACTAGGAGAGGAGGGAGGTACATGTGTGGAGAAAGTCCTACTCTGTAAGGGCTTTTATTTGTTATACGTGTATGTGTAGCTTTATTTCTTTGCAGTGCAGTACTGGGCATGGAACTCAGGGACTTAGGCTTCCTAAGCAAGCCCTCCTCCACTGCTCCAGCCACACCCTCAGTCCTAGTAAGGACTTTTGATTCAAGAGAAACCCAGTTGAAAATATGGTTTAAATGTGATTGGAAGCTGAAATGAAAAGGCTGGTAGAGGTTGAGATTTTAATTACTACGAGAATGGAAAGCTGGGACTTTTGTCATTTTTCTTTCAGGATGAGAAGAGTTTCTACATTTTGAGATCTTATGTCAGATCTGCTGCTTCTCAAGCTCAGCTCAGTTATCAGTTGTAAATACACCTCCAGTTCAAATCCTGAGGCAATCCTGCCTCACAACTCAGTTGAGCCTGTGTTTTCTCTTTCTCTCCCTTCCCTCTCCCCACCCTCCCCGCCCTCTTCCTCTCCCTCCCCTCCTCTTTCTTTGCTCAAGGCTAGTATTCTACAACTTTGAGCCACAGCTTCACTTCCAGTTTTCTGGTGGTTAATTGGACTTTCCTACCTGGAGTTGGCTTTGAACCGCGATCCTTAGATCTCAGCCTCCTGAGTAGCTAGAATTATAGGCATAAGCCACCAGTGCCTGGCTGTATTTTAAGAATGAAACATTTGCACTGTTGGTAGCTAACCCTCCCCCCTCTTTGCCTAAAGTGAAAGATTTTATGTGGGGGGAGCAGGATTGTTGTTCTGTTTTAACAAAGGACAGAAATGGACTGAAGCTGAGCAGGCAGGATTGAAGTCGGATACAAAAGGATTGCCTGTGCTATAAAGTAGTTACATTTTGAAAAAGTGAAGGAG